CATAAATCTACAATATCTCTTTAAATTATTTACACACTTCGTTTTGTTCATTGCTGACAAGTATTAGCCTTAAGAAAAGCCAAGCAAAATCTCATCTTAATCTTTCGAATGAGATTTTGTTACCTTCCTGATCTTGCAATTTTTGTGTATGCTAAGTATCAAACTTAACAAATCTGTACAAAAAACACCCTAACTTTGATTATGGAGTATATGCGATATTGGAAATACCAATATTTACATTTAAGAGGGAAAATCAAAAACAAAAAAAAAAAAAACATCAAAAAAAAAAATGCACAATTCTTTATGAAGATGATCTAAGAGTGGTTTACGTAGTTATCTCTTTTCTTTATTCAAATTGATGATGACCATAAGGCGATCTAAGTACTGATATATCATTTTTATAATCGCTTAGCTCTAAAAAGCATATTTATCTAAAGAAGAATCTGTTTATCTTAAAGTTCTTTACTGTTATTTGTAGCTGATATATTAGATACTGTTTCTTGCTAATTTTGGGTTAAAACTGAAAATGATAGTACCCATTTTCTTACACGTACGATTTTTCGTGTTGTGGGGGTCAAACTGGAACCATTTACTAAAATTATAAAAAAAACTGTACGTGACGGAAAATTTTTCAGATTTGTTGAGTAGTGCTATCGTTAAATAAAATTTTACTGTGTTAGACTTTGTGAACCGCGAAACTGTTATGCGAAATTTCCGGCATTGAAGAGACGATATCAACGTATAAAGGCACTTAATACTTAAGAAAAATTTTGAGGATGATATCTAACCAAAACCTATGGTGCAACTGAATACTTTATGCTGTTGTTCAAATCGAATTCAACTTAAATGTATGCGAATATAATAAAATTTTCACTAGCATTTCATTGGCTCTAGTTTGTTTGGCGCGTGCTGTTGCCACACGGTTTGGTTGGGCGTTGTTTTGCAATTTATAATTAACTGTGGGTGTTGTTTTTGTTGCCGCAAAGGAATTCTCATTGAGCACTTGAATATGAATTAGATAAAAGTAGAGACTGCATTTGCATATGTATATATATAACTCATAGATAAATAGCTATACACGTGTACATGCAATTTCTTTTACCATTTTTGGACTCTTTCATATTTGAGTTAATATAAAATACGCTGCAGGAAAACAATTACATATGCAAGTATATGTACATATGTATGTGCACATATGCATTTAATAGTAGTGCATATATATAAAATTTCTCCATTAACTAGTAAATTCTGGTCTTTTGGAAGTAGATTGCCGTCGATAAAGCAAGCAGGCAGCTGCTTTCATTTGACTTCAATATATTGTAATAGTGGATAATTTCCCCAAGGACCACTTGCATGGTTTAACCTCATGTATTGTTGAAATAAGTGATTGGCATTAAAAGCTCTTTATAGCTGATAATTGCTTGGGATACTCCATTTAAAGCCAAACATTTAAGTAAATAAAGATGATTAAAACTATTATAAATACAACAAAAGTGTTTCCTTATGTATTTACGACAAAAAATATTTAATTGGATATCTGTAAGTATAATCTTCCACTAACAGAGTGTTGACTTTCCACCTCGTCTTGTTCGTGCTTCTGCAGCTGGCGTCGGGTAAGATTCTCAACTTTATAATATGAAATACCACAACTTAGGAGAGTCTAGCTTTAGCGAGTAGTACGGAAAGAGCTCTCTGGATCTCATGCTATCGTTTTAGGGTCAAAAAGATCTTGCAAAAGCGCATGAACCGATGATAGCAGTGCTGGCCAAGTTTCTGCGAAGCCCGTTATTAGTATACTCAAGGGAGCACCAAAGGAGCACCAAAATTTATTCATTATACTGATAGTGGATCTACGGTAGGTACCTTCAACTATCACTGAACAGTATCATAAAACAGGCTTCTAAGACTCGTGACACTTTCCTTTGACTATGAGTGCTACAACGTCTGCATAGGAAATTACCCGGCAGCCACGATCCTCATGTTCAAGCCGTTTTGGAGCGTCTTTTTCTTTTTTTTAAGTTTCAATTATATTCGAGGTTCGGTTCTGAGTAATATAATACTTACATTAATATTAATATGCAACAAATATAGGAAAGAATATATGTATATAAAATAGATATGGTTAACAATTACTAACATTAATGCGGCTTACGTATCTCCAAGCGAATTTGAAATATTTCAAGGCAGATGTAATTCTAAGCTATAAAATTTCTAAGCAATTAAAGCGTAATATCGCAGGTAATTACAATAAAGAAATATTTAATCAGCGCAACTTATACGGCAATGCCAACCCTAATATGCCAAACGGGGCAACAACACACAATCGACAAGTGTGTCGTCATAACTCTGTCGTGGGCGGGTCACAACCATAAATGCGCTGCTGCCATGAATGGCCATTGACAAACGCTACCGATCGGTTGGCGAAATGAGAATGTAAATTAGAATTTAACAATAAATAAATATAAACAAGTCCGGTAATAGAAATCACAATAAACCACTTACAAGTATTCAATCTCACTGCCCGCTCTGTATGCATATTAAATAAATTCGCTTGGAAATTGAGCAGTAGGTTTGGTTTGAAATTTATTGGCGCATATGCGAATGTATGTTTGCTTTTATGAAAATGTTTACAAGCTCTGTCTATATTTGTAACACGAGCAAAATGCTTATAAATCTGGTCGTGAGAGCTTTTATGACACTCGGGAGTATACTGGTTTCTTTTCTGGTTCGTTTTACATTTTGCTGTCGAAAATGGCAATGGCTACATAAAGTTACCCTTTTAGTATTGTCTTTTAATTTGCCGAAAATTCGTGTTTCCGCTCGACTTCACAGCAAACATTATTTTATTTGTTAAATAAACGATTTCGCGTTTTATGATGCCTAATTCGCACTAAACATGTTATTTTCTGTAGTTTTATGTGATGTCTTCTAAGATGAAGATGAATAAAGTCTTCAAACGATTTTTAATGGAATTTTGGGAAAATACCTAACTCTTAGCGCAGTAGGTTTTAATGAGCATACCCTGATACTCAGCTACAAATTTGTTTATAGGAAAGCATAATATTTTTATAAGTTTATCTATGAGAAAAATACCTGATCTTAAATAAATCGGAAAATAATATATCAAATTATCATTCTTGAGATTACTGCAGATCATCAGATTCAATCGTGGTAATTTTTCGAGAAAATAGCTACAAGAAAACGTAAGATATTTAATACATATGTCGGTCTTCTAATAGTTCTATAGACTATAACCGCGTGGGCTGCGTAAACGGCAGTAAAGAAGAAGAATAATATTTCTATAGGTAGAAGCTTTGATAGGTATTCTAAAAATAAGAAAACCCTCACTTAAGTGCTAATCTTTCCAGCGGGCCATGTTTTTTATTCTGATAATGGAAGAAATAATCTCTATCAAATACGGTTAATTATTCTTTAAAGTTACCGTAAATATCACAAGCCGAAGTCGAGTGTTGTCTTGGTGAAAAAGTAATTATTTTTACTAAACAAGAGCGCTTTATTTGATCTCGTTTTCCAATCACTCGAAAAGCGTGAATCCCAAAAAATTCTGTCTAAAACCGTTAACGGTCGGCAACTGCTGCTGTCTCTTATACACATCTACAAAAAATTCTGTCTAAAACCGTTAACGGTCGGCAACTGCTGTGTCTTTTCATGTGTTCTGGATGACTTGTCCTGGAAAGTATAGGACTCACATATTATTATCATGACACGCCCCACGCACGAATTTTTGGCATTACCTTCTATTGAGATCTTCCAAAATGGCGTGCATTATTTGAGCTACTACAGTGACGACGAAATTCAGAAAAACGATGTACTCTTAAACTGACCCTGAACTTGCCTGTGTGCAAATGCAAAAGGTCCATGAAACTGCGAGGTCCTAACTAAACACTGTCCCTTTGAGACTCACGCAGAGAGACTAAAAAGGAAGAAAAGGAGGAACATGAGGTTCACACTTCTACGCACTATCAATTTCACTGTCTAGCTTTTGGCAGACTAAGGTTGAAGCATCATGGTTGGCATATATTCTACGTACATGGCGAATTGGCTTGAGTCAATTTTAGTCGTCTCAATAGACTTGTGGCTGGCTCTATGCGCTTTATAACGGGTGATCCAAATAGAGCTACTTTCTTCAATATTTTTTTTTTTTGGCATCTCGAGGTGAGTCGTGCCAAGCTTTCTTTTTATTTTTGTTTTTTGAAGCCCATTTCTGTATATAAGCAGCAAAACTGCCGTTCTTAGGACGAAGAGCGACCTGAAGAGATTCACGAGCTGTCATTTCATGCAGAAAGAAACAACGGAGGTTGAATCATCGGTTCATATTTTTTCAAAAAAAAAAAAATAAATAAATACAAAAAAAAAAAAAAAAACCCGTTGGAAGCGTATTGTCATTGGGTTAGCGCGCTATGACAACCGATTTTATGATGCCTGGTTTCCACAATACGACCGCACTTCCCACACTCGAAATCAATCAAAGGATTTATTGAAAGAACACTTCGATGAGCTACTTTCATACTTTGACGTTTTGGGCCGGTCGATTGCCCACCAAAATCTTGTTATATCACACTGTTAGACGTCTTCTTGTGAGAATTTAGTGCAACCGAAGTTAAAGTTTTTTCTTGGTTTTCATTTAGAATTTTCATAACTCAATAAAAAAACGAAAAAAAAACATAAAATATTTATCTAAAAATTTTTATTTTTGTTTTTATAAACATATTATAACTACCTCTACCTGTATGAAATACTTAGTACTACAACCCGAGTGAAAGTAACAAAAAATTATAAAAAAATATATTGTTTAAAATAGACATAGCAAAGGCACAGCAACTTAATTTACGCGCATTTAATTGACATTGAAATAAAAAGCCAACATTAATTATATATATACACACACTGGTAGAGAGCTTTACAAGCAGCGAAGATCGCACAGCTTCAGCTATTACACAGATAATTGCACGGCGATATGTCTATAAAAGCTTGCGCCCAACCTAAGCTGAGTTTATTTGCACAGCGCGGAAATCGTGTTCGGACGTAGTCAGCCGTATCCCCGGGAGCCGGAGTGAGCAAACGCCATCGAGCGTGAAATTATCGACAGTGAAAAGTGTGGAATTTATTTCAATTAAACTGAAAAGAAGAACTCAAAGAAAGAAGCACAGTTTAAAAAGAACATTCAGAGCAACAAGTAATCAAGCTAAAGTGCAAAAGATTTATTCCAAGTCAAAGGAAGGACAAACAAAAATTACACACATCCTTATGCTGTGTTCGGTGAAAAAAATAGAAGAATTTGCTACTTTTTCTGCCTAAGCCATGGCCGTTGTACCATCGTCCACAAATCTCAACGATTGGGATTATTGGGATTATCGACGACGCCTTTGGCGTGACTTGGATCTCGTCGACTGGGACCTGCCGTACTGGAAGCGTTTGGCACGCTTCAATTCCTCACCCGATCTGAGTCGTGTGATTGTGGGCAAGGATGGCTTTGAGGCGAATGTCGATGTGCATCCTTTCAAGCCTTACGAAATTCAAGTGAAGACTGTGGGCGACACCGTCGTGGTGGAGGCGAAACACGACAAGCGGCGAGACGGTGACAACTATGTGGGACGACATATAGTAAAACGTTTCGTCCTGCCACGTGGTTTCTATCCGAACGATGTGCGTTCAGAACTCTCCTCAGATGGCATCTTGACCATTAAATGTCCACCACCAGCGCAAGTCGAACGCAGCGTCTATGTGCGACAAGTGGGCCTACCATACCTGAGCATTAAGAACTGACGTGCAGCTAAGTGAAGACGAAAGGATGTTTCTGTATCTCGCAGTTGTTGTAATTAAAACTAGCAAACGAAAATTCGCTCTTTTTCTTGCAATTTATGTGGTTGTGTTGACAGAAATTGCGAAAAAAGCGGTTGAAAGCAGGAGCTGTTGTTAATCTTTCTTACTGTATGTGCTCGTATTTATATATGCATAAATATGTATTTGTAATCGTATGTGTTATAAGCTGGCGCACTACTAAATTGCGAAGAGTTCTTTGTTGAGTTTTACTTTTTTATTTTCTTTGCGAATTAAAAATCACTTTTGTTACTTTAAGTATTTGTTGTAATACAACAACACGAAAGCACTCGATTTATTTGCCATTTCTCCACATCTTTGTAATTAACAAATGCAAAATAATAATGAATGTAATTGTAGTTAAATAAAATTAATGTTTCTGAAACACTCAAAGGCACTATTATTCAAGAAAGTTTATTTCAGAGGTAAGAAGACACTTTAATAACAAAAATGGATATTTGTTATCATAAAATATCTACTATCTACACTTTTCTATGTGAGAGCCCATAACTCGAGATTCATAATTCTCTTATTAAGGATATATTTGCTGGCTCCATTAAGCGATATTCTCAGCGCCAATATATGTGTGGAACACAGTGATGCTATTAATGAGCACACCTAATGTGAAACCTATAGAGAATATATTTTTTGGAGTTAAAAAAATTCTATATCAATATTTTTGAAGAAAACCTTAAATATTTTTCGAGTTAGATGTGATCTCCGACGCCGCTGGAGCAAACCTTAAAAACATGAAACACATTAACTTCGGTTGCACTGATGCTACAATATCTTACACAAATACCACGATTCATTAAAAGAACCAATTCGTATGGCAGCTATATGCTATAGGTCTTGATTTGAACAACTTTTTCAAACTGCATCAATGTCTCGAGCAACAAGGGGTGAGACGAGAAAAAATCAAGCAGAGAACTAAAATCTAGAATTTGCACTGAAAAATGCTTACAGAGAAACTATGACTGTGAGCTAAGCCAAGCCAAATTTCATGAAGATATCTCGTCAAATGAAAACGTTTGGCTTTGAAAGTAATTGTATCTTGTTTCCGATGGCTCAGTTTGTATGGCTAGTTGGTGATCCGATATCGACAGTTTCGGAACGTGAACAATTTTTTGAAGAGAAAGAATGTAAGTAAAATTTCCTGAAAAACTGAGGGTGTAGTATGCGTATATACTGACAGACAGATGAACGGACACCACGAAAGTTTTGATTTTTGATCAGGTCAAGAAATCTGTAGGTCATTGTATGGAGAACTATACATACAAAGAATATCAGAAAAAATGTGTGCAATCACTCAAGCAAATTTAAAAATGTAGCTACGAGAAAATCGTATTTGAAGATAAAAGATTGAGTTAAGAAGCAATGTTTTAAATGGTTAAAAAGGAAAAACTATTGGTAATATTCTTTTAAATTTTTTTTATGTTATTTTTAGAGGTAAAATAAAAAGTTTATATTTTTTATTCCCACTAGGTGTGCTTCTTTAAACTTTTATTCTTGATATTTCAAATTTGCTGTCTTCTTTAATGCTGAAAATCTGCCGTTTTTGCGAGGGTGATCTTAATTCTCCATGTTTGTGGATAACTTTTGTAGAATTTAGGTTATTATCTTTAATCGCGTCATTTCAAAATTCTAATATGAAAGATACCAAACCAGAGATTTTAATCTGCCTTTCTATTTATGGTCAACATGGTGCGGAAGAACAATACATCTCGAAAATGACAGATATTCAGATGGATACAGACCTGGTGAAATTTGAAATATCAAACTAATGCTGCTGCCTGTGCGAATGACTTGTTGTTCTGTTGCAATTTGGATTTCTTACCATCAATATAGAATGAAGAAAATGTACTTTGTCCTTAGACAAAATTAAGAATGTATAAGTTTAACCACAAAAAAAAATAAAATAAAATCAAATTAAAATCTGTCTTGCAGAGGACTAAGATCTAGAATTTCCATTGAAAAATACTTATAGAGTAACCCTCACAGTCATGGTTACGCATAACTATCCAGAGAGGGGAACAAAAATCTTTGTGATTTACGTGAGTACCTGCCGACGCCGGCTTAACTTCACGGTGATTTATTTGAAGCACATAGATGAAAACAATGCATTGATCAGCGCCCCAAAGTATACATAAATGCATTTTGAACGTATTTTTTGGTTAGAATTGGTTTATGTAAGATAGGGGCGCCTTTACCACCTTGGTTGGGTACGAGGGCGATCTAAAACCTCTGCCGTGCTGTGGGTCCGGCACCCGGCCGCAGTGCAACTCCACACTGGATTGAATTTTTCAACACTACCTGCTTTTAGGTTTAAACCACAGCCACCACGAATCTCAACAAAGGAAAAGTAGGTAGTATACACAGAGCAAAACTCAGAAGATGAAAGAGGAGTGTTGTGGTAATGAATAGACTTTTTTTTCGATAAATGAGCGTCGCCATCAATTTTACCATCTAAACCGGTAATTCATGTAAGGGGAATAAATGTATTAAAGACAGACTTTCTTTTCTTACTAATTTTCAAAATAGAATTTATTGCATATGTAAAGAACAGGAAGCAATTAAGATTTTATTTGGTCCTAGTAAGACAAAAAGAAATCGTGTGACTATAAAATACTTTTCTTAAAAAGGTAGCATAGCAGATAGCGTAAATACAAAAAAAAATGTGAAAATGCGAAATTGAAATGCAAGCAGGCCTTGAAAATTCATTTTACCTCTGAACGCACACCGACAAATAGTCCGGTAGAAAATGTTTCGATAATAGCACCTACTAACTTGGATAGTTTCATTCAGACGAACGCGATCGAGAGTGTTTTCATTCATGTCGTAAATTTCGCAAATTGCGCTTTCAACTTGAATGGTTCTAAATTGAGTCGCGTATACGCGTAGGTGGGCGCGCCAGCAGCGCAATAACTGCATATTTGGCATGAAACGTGCGCAACAACAAACCCACACACATACATAAGCAGCAATATGTTGTTAACAATAACAAAATAAATATTTTGTTTTAGAAAATAAACCAAACAACAACAACAATATGAGAATTATGTTTACCAAGCAAAGCTATTAGAAATACTAGCGATTATGTTGAACTTAGGTGTTGTAACAAAAACAAAAACAATAGCAAACACAACTTACACACTATTTATTTGTGACACTTAACGCTTGAATGAGAAATAAATTGCGTCGCTTAAGGTCGAGCTTTCACGATTGGTTGTTTTGGCAGATGTGACCTGGTGGAATCGACCGCTCTTTGTTTGTAAACAAATTGTTCTCAATAAGGTCGTACAACAGTTAGTACAGTAAAGATTACATACATTTTACATTATAAATTATTTTGCTCTCACTTTTGTTTTTGGATGCAAATTGCACTACTTCTTAAAAAAATCTGAGGTTTTGCTTGAACCACTGTGGGTAGCAGGCAATGTAAATATTTATGTTTCTTAAGACTCAAATAAAATACAGGGTGAATTAAGAGTTTAGTTCAATTTGGAAAGGGAGACTAAAGCCTAAAGCTTCATACACTTTTCGCCATTGAATGTTTTTAGTATAAAATCAAGGGTCGGTAGGCCTCAAGAACAACCCATGCCAAATTTCTGGAAGACATCTCGTTAAATGAAAAAGTTTCCATACAAGCACTTGATTTCGATCGTTCAGTTTGTATATTAGCTATAGTGATCCGATATCCGCAGATACAACAAATGCTCCTTTCGGAGTAAAGGATGTATGGTTAATTTCAGATCGATATCCCTATATACCTAAACGCAGACAGACATGGCTAAGTAGAATCAGGTCACTATGATGATAATTTATTTATATACTGAAACATTGTGGCAACCTTAAGGAGCTACATGGGTTTACTCGGTTAAAAAAAAAAAAAAAACTTTTTCAATATTTTTTTTTTTTTYATAAAAAAAAAAAAAAAGAAATATTTTATKAGAATTTTTTATTGTTACAAGCATACACTATTCACAAAGAAATTATGATTTTTTTTTTTGAAAAAAATAAAAAAATAAAAAAATATTTTATGCCCCGAAAAAATACGTGGTTTAGTTAAAGCCTTAATTTAGAACTTGGACGAAGAAAAAAAAAACTGAAATTGGATTTTCGGCAGACTTTCGACGTCCACGTCTTTAAGCATTGTATCTCAAAGACCTGCGTAAAGTTTCATAAAGATCGGTTGAATAGTTCTCGAGAAATATTGCCAGCCGACTTCAAAAACACAGTTTCGAGAAAAAGGCGTTTAAAGGCGGCGAACTTAGCCTAGCTAGCCCCGAGCGCACAAGTTATCAAGGCTGTACCTTATTTTGGACGAACTTGAAATTAACGTCATCGAAAAAGCTTATGTGTGAGGATCATGTTCGGTGGGTGGCGTTTATTCCTCAAAACGATTCTGAATTATAATGCCCACGGGAAAGATATTGAGCAATAGAGAATGCGGAAATGATACTACCAAAACGATGTAGAAAAATTGGAAGATCGCCCTCGATGGCTCCTAGATATTAACTAATAAATCAGATTTTATCAAAAACCTGAATTTCTTTAAAATTACGCTAATTTTATAGATGATCTATATTCTTTTTTTATAAATCCGCAGTCCATGAAATTTTTAACAAATAATCATATATTGATATAACTAGGTTTTCTAGTCTTTCTATCATCATTTCAACCGTAAAAAAAAAACCCTGTAGATTAATTTTTTGAGCGTGGGAAAAATAAACGTGTTTCTAGCGTATCACTGCAGTGGCGCCGGGCATAAGAGGTAATAAGTACGACCAACGTAGAATTACGGCTTTACAGCTGCTTAAGTTATGCTTAAATCCATAACTAAGTAGCACTGCACGTAATATAAATGTACTTTAATTTCTTTAGTTTTTAGTACAGTATTTTCATAGTTGAACGGCAAAATGTGTTGGCATTTGTTTGGATTCAAAATACATACATATGTATGAAGTAGTTTGGACATGTTCTGCTGATTTCTAGAAAAACAATG